GAGATACTTGGGTACGGAGCTAGGAAATGGGGACTTTTCCACTTCCTGGTATGGGAAGGCAGCTGTCCTGAGGAGGACACCTCAGTTCTGATGTGGGCCCTGGGGCCCTCAGTCCCTGGAGTTTGGGTGGGTTCTTAGCTGCCAAAGTTCTGCTACTCACATCCTTGGCTCCTCGACACAAAACAACATAGCGGCAGGCTCGCTTCCACTGGATCTGGCCAAGAGTGGAGGAGACCAGGGCATTTTTGAGGAAGAAGAGGGTCCCCGCATAGTCAAGAATGAAGATGTGATCCTTGGTGGGCAAGAAACGGCGGTAGCCATGGGCTAGCAGAGGGGCTACACTCTTGCTGAGACAGCGGCGGCGGCCCCCAAATGCCTGGAAATACAGGCCTTTCGTGTCTAGAGAAGGGAAGGATATGGAAGGTTCAAGGGGACATGAATCAGAGAGTGGGCAAACAAGATTTCTCAGATTTCCTGCTATTTAGCTCCTCTCCATCCCCAGGACTGGGAAACGTACCCCTTCCAAAGGACACATGTAGAGCTTAGAGGATATCCTTAATTATACCCAATGACTGAAGGTTAGTTTTCAGGGCCATAAACATGCTTCTAAATGAGCACTTCTTTGATCCAAACTTGCATAGCATTAAGGAGATTTACTCTGAAAGCTTAGGATATTTCCCAGAGTCTAAGACTTAGTCTTGGCGTGGGAGGAGGATATTTATGAGAAACAGGAGACAACAAGGGACATATAATAAATACACAGAAAAGAACCAGAGGAGTGAGGAAGAAAGAGGAGTGGAAAAGAATGATTCAGAAAGACCAGTAACTCTCCCTCACCCCTAGCTCTCGATCTGCCTCCCAGATCTCTCTTAATCTCTACCATGTGAGATGAAGTGGACAGGGACTCCCTGGAAAGGAAGGGGGCTGTAGAGCATGTTTCTCAGTCTGAGGGAGAATTTATCCCTCAGGGGACATTGGTTGTCACAACTGAGGGAGGTGCTACTGGCATCTAGTGGGTAGAGCCCACAGGTGCCGGAAGCCGGTTCAACACAGGCACTTTTAAACATTCTTTAATGCACAGGATAGTTCCCCACATCAAAGAATTATTTGGGCCCTGGCCAGTGTTGCTCAGTTGGTTGAGTGTCATCCCATGCACTCAGTCACGGTTGGATTCCAGGTCAGAGCATATGCCCAGATTGCAGGCTCAATCCACAGTGGGGGTGTGCAGGAGGCAGCCATCAATTTTTCTCTCTCCCTCTCCCATCCTCTCTTTCTAAAAAATCAATAAAAACATATTTTTTTAAAAAAAGAATTATTTGGTCCAACACCTCAGTGGTGACAAGGCTGAGAAACCCTGGTTTACAGGAGGGGAAGCTTGCGGTTTGGGGAGTAGAAGATGTCTCTGGGGTAAGATTTGGAAGAGTTTAAATATGGAAGGAGGCATGGTAGGGATACTAGTAATGGGGGCTCTGGGTGGGACATCTATCAGAAGGTGGTTCTAGAGACTTGAAGTACTCAATGGCATGTTTGAATCTAACATTTGCTTCCACAGAAAGAGGCCCTGGAAGATTGGCTGGGAATGCTGAGGTCATCAGGCAACTCTATGGAGCAGGAGAAATCCCAGAATAAGGTAGGTCAGAGGCAAAGGGAAGTGCAGGTTCTGGGGAAGGTGTACAGTTAAGAATAGCAGCTCTCTTCCAGGGACGGACTCCAGAACCCTGCTCTCGGAGGCGAGGACTGAGCTTGCGACAGATGCGTCTCCACACGCCCTCAGCATCGCACACTTCATGGAAGTAGTGGCAGGTCTGGCCGAGGGCAACTACATCTCTGACTGGGAGAAATGAGACGATATGTTCCACCTGAGGGGCAGGAGGGAGAAAGCAGGGGTCACTGGGGGCCCCTCCCAGTCCTTTATTCTTAATACTTGCCCCTCCTCATATTCACTTTTTACAGAGAGGAAGGGAGAGAGAGACACTGGGGGCCCCTCCCAGTCCTTTATTCTTAATACTTGCCCCTCCTCAAGGACTCACCAGCTCTGGGGGGAACAACTGAACAGAAATAGGGTTCCCTCTTCCTTTCTTCTCTTCACCCCCAAGCTCTGGGCCACATGAAGGGCAGCTCCGCTTCACCTACCCAAGAAAAAAGGGGAGCACAGGGGTTCCATGAGGATCATGCCTTTTTTTTTCCCTTCTCTCTGCCTGTCTTTCATTAGCTACTATTTTGGGGGTTCATAGCTCCATCTTCCAGCTCTGTGCTGTCAAATCCTCCCATCTTTCTCTCTAGATCCATGGCTCACTCCTCCCTGTCCTTGTTCCTTATTCCAATTTCTCCAAGTAACCCCTCCCCAAATCTCTTGCTGACCTCTTCTTGCCCTTCTCTTGACACTGCCCCCACCCAAGCCTCTCCTTATCCTCACAGCCCGGTGAATCTTTGCAGCTTCTGCCTCTGGCTTTTCCTCACCATCTTGACTGCCCTCTCCCTGCTCCTGTCCTCATGTCTCCAGGCCCCTTGGCACTCGTCTTGGGCCCTGTCCCTGCTGCCTTTCCCACACCATGTCCCCTGCCTGGGATGGGGGACCTCTAGGGCCCCTCTGCCTCCTAGGCCCCTCCCCCATGGAGTCTGGGGCAAACAAACCTCTCTGTGACCTCACTGTCTGGCCACTGTGACCTGTTTTCCCCAACCTTGGCAGGGATTTTCTGTCTTAGCTCCTCAGTTCTAGCAACCCAATGGCTCATGGGATATGCATTTTACAGGAGAAACACAGTGTGAACTCCTGGTAGATGATGCCTTTACTTTCAGGGAGTAGTAGGAGCTTTTTTCCACTTGAGGCCCTTTAAGCATTAACTACTATAGAGAAACACTGGTGAATTCTTCATATCTCTGCAGGCCAGGGCCTCCAGAGGATTTGTAGCTCAAAAGTATACCCACCCTCCCCCCAAAAAAAGTATAGACTCCATTTGCCAGGTGAGGGGGAGGGTGACCCTGCTAATGACCATCTTTCTCACAAAAGCATGCACCAGATGAAAGTCAGTGCAATTCACCACAGACTTTAAAGTCTCATGAAAAATACAGATCCAAAAGCAGACTGCTTTCCTGGGTCAGTAACATGACTGCATGTATGAAGGGCGGCCTATTACGGCAGAAGAAAGGGTTAGATTTACTCTGAAAGCTTAGGATATTTCCCAGAGTCTAAGACTTAGTCTAGGGGTGGGGAGTGATATTTATGAGAAATAGGAATGAGGTTGTGTCTGCACAGGTGGGACAGACCTGCACCAATAAATCCAAGCAGTCGCTGGCTCTCCCAGGGGCTCACGGGAATCCAGTCCTGGCCGGCCAGCCCTGAGCGGCTCAGGATTACAGGCTTGGTTTACTGGGCGAACAGCCTGTCACCCACCCAATCAAGCTCCCAAACTCACGGTGACTTAGGAAACAGCTTGTCTGGGTTACCTAAGATGAATTTTTTTTTTAATATATATATTTTATTGATTTCTTACAGAGAGGAAGGGAGAAGGATAGAGAGAAACATCGATCAACTGCCTCCTGCACACCCCCTACTGGGGATGTGCCCGAAACCAAAGTACATGCCCTTAACCAGAATCGAACCTGGGACCCTTCAGTCCGCAGGCCGACGCTCTACCCACTGAGCCAAGCCGGTTAGGCCTAAGATGAAATTTTAATAATTCAATCATTGTTTAGGAATGTCAGCGTCTGAGAAGTGACTTGTGAGTGGTTAGGCAACTATTAACATCCTAAGGTGGACTCCTTCGGCCCCCAAGGCATCTAAAAGGAAGTTCGGTCTCTCGGCAGACAGCAGCACAGTCAGCTTGCTCTCATTTCCGGATCCCCATTATTCACTCCACTTCACCCCAGGCGGCAAGGAGGGCGAGGACAGAAAAAGCCCACCGTCAAAGCTGACGCGGTGGGGAGCCTGGGGCTCTGGTGCCAGCTGTCGGCACGTTGCTGTTTGCTCCTGCCAGCTCATCCACTTCCCTCCGCCTCAGTTTCCACATTTGTAAAATGGAGGACTTCTGGGGGAGAGACGGCCCCTTCTAGCCTAACCCCCCGGTCCTGTCATCACAATTCCTGCCCCGGCGCGCTCCTCTGGCTGGGCGGGCAGGCCAGGCGGCAGCCCTCGAGGCTTTCCCGGCTCCTGGAACCCTCCCTCCAGGGGCTGAGCTGGGCATCTTCAATCTTCAGGCTCTGGGAAGCCGCCCCCCGGGCTCCACACAGACCGTCGCAGGGCCTCAGCCGCCCCAGCCGGAATGACGACCCTCTGCGCACGGGGCGCCCAGCACTCTCCAGTCTACCTCACGGCCTCATAGCGGCTCGCTCCGTAGCACCTACAGCTCACACGCACTACTCCTGCCCCTGAAATGCTCCTCGTCCAACCCGCCGCGCGCAACGCTCACATTTTTTTACCTCCGTTCTAAAGTTCTAGCTCACCCGCCTCCTTAGCGAAGGGACCGCCTTCTCGCCCATGCTACTGGTAGGTAGAGCCGTCCCTCAAAGAAGAGGCGGGACCAGGGTCCCTCCAGAGAATCTAATTGGCCTTCTCGACAGTCACTCGCCTGTATCTGGCTTACGATTGGTCTTCATTAGAAGAGGACTGGGGCTGGCGGTCTCTCGGCCCCTATCCCTTTTAGATGAGCGCCGGCGTCCCCGCCTCCTGGTTGAATCTGATTGGCTCTATCTCCAGCCTAAGCAGTGTGATTGGATGCGGCTGCACGGGGTGAGCCCGACTGAAGCGTCAGCCGTTGGCGAGAGTTCCATTCGAGTCCTCCTCCCTTCGCTCGCCTCACTCCAGCGCCGGAGTCTCCACCCCCCCGGCGGGTTCTGATTAGCCACTTCCGATGCTCGGGACCGCGATTGGTCCACCGGGTCTCTGGTCCCACTTCCTCCCCCTTGAAGTAACTACGGCGGCTCCAAGGAGGGGAGGGGGGGAAAGGGACGGCCGGTCCCGTCACAGGCAACGG